AACAAATTAAAAGATTTAGGTATATTATTCGACCAAAAGGTTACTTATTCGGATCAAATTGATAATACCGGTGCGTCTGCGTTGAAAAACTTCGAGTTTTTAATTCGTAACTCTTTACAAATTCTCAAAGATTGAAAATTCTTTAGTTTTCTTTAGTACGTTCCAATCTAGAATATGCATCTCTTATTTACAATATTCATGAAAGATCTTTGGAAAATGTTTAGCGACGATTTCCCAAGTACATTTCTTTTAAAAAGATGGGCAGTATCCCATTCGAGGTATATTGAACAATCTCTACTGCTTTCGAAGTTTAGTAGATCATCATTGGAAAATAGAAGGGTAGTTTCCAGTGTGATATTTCTTTATAAAATATTACATAATAGCATTGATAAACTAAATACATTTTAATATTCCACAAACAACCATTAAACATCATAAAACATTTTATACTCTAAAACGTTAATGTGTTCAAATTTTAATTAGTATTGTTCTGACTGTGATTTTTATTTCCACTGTCTGGAAAAAATATTAAATAACATTGATTGTACTAATTTGTAGCTAATGTACAGCCCCAAAACTAAGAACAGTTAATGTCAATGGTCTCAAGCAGTTGTTGAACAAGATTCGGTTCCATGTCACGTGTCGAAGGTCATGATGAAATATTTCAAATTTCAAGGACAAAACGATTTCATGACTTGACTGTCCAAGACACTCACCAGATCTAAATCCTATCGAAAACTGTGGGATATTGTTAAAGCTAGACTTCGTAAAATAGATTGTACAGCAAATGTCAAAACGTGTTGAAAAAGTTATAAAAGACAAGGGAGGACATGTTTCCTATTAAAACAATTTAACTTTAATTTCTTTTTTAGAAATAATTTGAAAATTCGGAAACAAATCCCAAAAAGCCCCCTACGAATTTTTAAAATCAACTCCAAACCCCAAAGGTGAGAGGTGAAAACACATACTTGGAGATTTGAAAAAAAGGGAGAAAAAGAAAAAATATAAGGAGGAAAACCAATAAATGATGTATTTAAATTATCACTTGGGTTCGTTCACATTAAATTCTACCTACTTCGAAAATTAACAAAAGAGCAAATGTGCGGACCACATACCAGGAGCAAATTTAGAATGGTCTACCATGTAATTGTTTACTAAACAATCACCCACTTCTGCTGATTCCAAGAGTGTCAGTTCAAACAAACACCTTAACGACTCTCCTGTCTCGTATTTATCATTGGTTTTATATCAGCTATAGTTTTAAAAATACAGTTGAAAAGTAAAGAGTCCTGATACCTGCTATGGAATAGTTTGAATTTTATTTTATATTTTAAAACATAAGCTCAAGATCTACGCTGGCACCTCTTTATTATGTTTTAACATTATCCCTTTGTCCTTCGCACAATCTAATGTGTAAATTGCGCGCGCATTGTAACATTTCCCCTTCTTTGTTGTATCTGATTAAGGAAATGTTTACTAGGCCAATCCGTTTGATTGTTACTAATAATAATCATCAGTATTCAGACTTAAGATACCCGATGTCATTATTATAAAAATCTAATGAAATTTAGGAAATATATTTTATAAAAATAATAAATTTGTTTATTAATTACAAATCCAAAATTTGAGGGTCCCCAAATTGGTGTTCCCTACCTTATTTGGAAACGATTTGATTTTGAACGGAAGAGACAAAGACGATGAAAAGTATTGAGACGTTTAATTTTCAAGTTTATGAAGCATTGGCGGCGCTACTTAGCTAAACCATGTAAAAGTCCTGGTTTAAAAATTTACAAAATTTATAAAAATTTATAAAAATTAACAAAATTTTACAAAAATTTACAAAAATTTACAAAAATTTACAAAAATTTACAAAAATTTACAAAAATTTACAAAAATTTACAAAAATTTACAAAAATTTACAAAAATTTACAAAAATTTACAAAAATTTATTATTAACTACCTTATTTATGTGATGATTATCTTAGGTGAAAATGACAATTGTCATATCTAAGTACCGATTTTTTTGTAATTTTTTTAAATTCATTCATTTTTTGTCCGATATTTTGAATCTCCCTGTAGATATCAACGGTTTCTTGGCACCATTTTAATGAGTACAAAACTGCGCAACTTTTGTCTAATTTAACAAACTTTCTTTCTGTTACCGTTTAAGAAATAATACAATCCATATGAAATAATAGGGACCCTGTATATAATATTTTGAGTATTATAGTTAGGGAGATTAATTTCGTAACAAACAAAAATGATGGTTTAATATAATTAGCAGTAAGAATCCTGTGATCAAACCAATTAAAAAGGATCTTTAAGTCATCCTCAACTAGTACTCTTAAGTCTTTCCACAAATCTGCTGAAACGAAACATTTTTGAGATCTTTACCCATGTTAAAATAATATTTAGGCCCTTTACCTTTTTAATCCTAATATTAAATTCCAATACTAGTACCATACTGAAGTTCGTTAAAGGTCGTGCAAAAATCATGGACTTCAACATACTATATGTTATTAGCGTAAGATCCACATTTATTTAATCTTAAAACTATTAGTTTCACTTTCACTTACAATAAAATAACTACTGAAATACATACTTTTAAATACTTTTAAAAGACATTCAAAACATTTTAAATACTTTATTTGACTTTTAAGATTGAATTGACAGTTCACAATTACCATTTCTTAAAATATTACTTTTTTAAATAAACAAAATATTTTTGATCGAATTTGTTTTTCACCTTAATTCCTTTTGCATAATACAAATTTCCATATTTATTATTTGAATAATATGCCATATTAAACTAATCCAGGTACTGCACCTGTAGCAAATGACTCGATTAATGCGATCCAATTATCTTCCCACAAACAAAAATACACCAACATACAACGCAAATTGAACCATATTTGATAAAATTAGATTAACAGGACATCTAGTCAAATTAATTCATACAGTTGCTATGCGATATGTTAAATTACATTGCTCAACAACTGAAGTGGATATTTCGAGAAATTCTAAATTTACAGTGTAAATATTTGGATTTCCCCAATTTTTTGCAACTCATTAAACAATTCTAATGTTTGAGGATTTGTCTATAATTAATACGCAATTATTTCAAACATTTTAAAATTTAAATTTCAAGACAATCGGAATTATCCAGATCAATTGTTGAGCAGTGTATTGGAAGCTTTAATTTATTTGATCTAACAACTACATCGAACCCCGTTCAAAAATGCAGTTTAATATGGCGGTAAAAATGATAAGAATCGGACACTTCAACACACATTGGAGTATTTTTTCAAAATAAAATCGAAACTACAAGGTATGGCAATTCAATAACAGGCACAGGGACAGGCCTTAACCGTTCGGCTTGGTGAAGGGGAGTGGGAATGGAATGTAGGAGATGCGTGACACTTAATATATAGTACCTTAACCAACCCATCAAGCAAAATAAAGATAAGACGCATAATTATATTTGGTCGCCTAGTGGGATAGCATGTATGGTTTTATCTCTGTCCATTCAATAGTATCGTTTTCCTGGAGTCAGTATTGGCAAGTTAACGTACTGTATGTAAATTACAGTAAACAAGATTTTTAAATTCTGTAAATATCTTTACACCCATACATCAGTAGTACGCCTATGACTTTTATTGCCTGATCATTTTTATTCTTCACACCACGATTTCTTAATGCAATCCAATTTTCTTTGATATTAAAATAGTTACATTATAATGTATCAAAAATAACCTATAAATTTTAGTATTTGAACTGGCCCCAAGTTAGACAGACTGCTCTTTTCTATATCATGTGCTCCCTAGTCTAGTGGTTCCAATGTAGGTGCCGCGGAACACCAAGGTTCCGTCGAAGGATGATCAGGTTCCGCGAAGAATAGGTTAGAACATAAAATAATTATGTTTTTATATCATTGATACACTTTTGTTATAACTCCAAATTTTACCTACCAATAACAATGAAATCTTTGATAAATATGAATAAAAAATAGTTTTTATTTTAAACTATAGTATCTTTCAATTAAAGTTCTCATACCTAATGTGCGATCTACTTAACAGTTAAAGCATTCATATAAATTTGTTTTGCATGTCAACAATAATTACTACTTTTCATATGGTGTTTCTTTTATTTTTCTGGGCTTGTCTGACTTAGCCTCCGATAACACTACAGCATAATAGTTTATTGCGTTTTATCCCATATTAGTTCACAGTACCCACTCGGTCACCTTTCGTATGGTTATTTAAATTTTTTCACCGAATACGGACGCGATATGCTTTTTACGCTATGAGACGTATAAACATAGTGTGCAAATAAATCACGTATGAATTGTTCGTAAGGGCGGAAAATAGGATTTTAGATCGAACCTATTGATTTTTTGTGATTTTATTTATATACTCATATCTACGCTATTCTTGAAGTTAGCTCAACGAACTTATACTGATTCGGAATCTACTGGCGTACTATGGTACATGAGATCCTAAATCTGCACAAAATTAACAAATAATGAAAATAATAATTTGACAACATTAGTAACATAATTCATTTGACAAATCATCAGCTCATACTATTCCATAAAAATTTCACTCAAATATCTAGTAGGCTGCGCATCAAGACAAGCGAAAGTTGACATTGTGTGTCATTTTTGTTTATTTTAACAGGTTGTAGGTGAAGTTTGTAAATTTGCAATATCAAACGATTATTTTTTTGATAAATTTTGATAATGACCAAAATTGATCAAGGAAAGGTTAATTTGTTTATGTAAAATAAATTAAAACATTCCGTAATTTTAAGTCGTAATTATTTCAAATCTAGTATATGATCTCTTTTTTTCAATTTATTAACTAAAAATAAAGATACAAAAAAGTATCAGCAAGTGCCAGATCTATAGATCAAAGTTGACAGAAATAAATCAGCTTTTTTGAGTAAATTCAGAGGATGGCTCCAAGGCTATACGATCTTTGAGAAAAGTAAAGAGGCACGCAATGAATAATTTGTTAACCCCACGATCAGCACCAGTAGGTCGCCCAAAATTGCCATTTTCCGACAAAAATCTAAAGTCACAAAAATTGAAATTGTCGAGGGAGAATGAACACGATTCCAGTTTAATTGTAAGTACCGCCGTAGCTGTGTTATTAGGGAAACTACTAAAAGTTCCACAAGAGCTTCTAAAATAAAAAAAAAGTGTTATTTTCTACCAAGACCAAGGATCCAATTAAATACACCCTTCAAGAAGCGTTATCATTCCTACTCGACAACAGATTTACTAAGCAGCAGTATATAGCTATCAGACTGAGCAGTAAAAACAGAAATTGTGATACCAGCAAGTAGAAGCTTAATCAGAATGTCGACCAGGTAATATCAATATTTCTGAAAATTTGGCAAAAGTACGAATTCAGGATCTTCTGTCTCATATACCACAAACCGAATTTTCATATTACAGGAAGATGTAATATCCAGAATTACCACAGGCAAACATCAAGTTTCTGCAACTCTAGTAGCAAGCTATGGTTTTGATGGTAGCTCTGGACATTCTGAATATAAACAGAAGTTCTTGAACGAAACCGAAGGTTCACAAGATTCCAGTGTTTTTCCAACTACGCTTATACCACTAAGACTGACTACGAGTAATGGTGTTGTTATTTGGAATAACTTAACTCTTCAGTCGCTAAGATTTTGTATACCAATCAAACTTCAATATGTGAAAGAAACCAAAGAACATATGAATGAAAAAAATAGCTGAGAGAAGGAAATTCAAAACCACAGGAAATGGATGTCAAGTAATAGTTGATTTTCATCTCTGCCTTACATTAATAGACGCTAAAGTTTTAAGTACCCTAACTGGAACTAAATCGAGTCAAATGTGAAATATGCGGGGCTACTCCTGCTAAATTTTTAACTATCACCGACTTCATGTAGGATGCATTTAAACCTAAAGAAAGTGCGCTTCAGTACGGTATCAGTCCACTTCACTACTGGATTCGTTTTTTTGAATGTGTAATCCACATTTCCTATATACATTAACTTAAAAATGTGACAAATTCGGAGCGAGACAAATAAAGCTGCATTTGCTGGGCAGAAACCAAAATCTAATGGCTTTGGGTCTACTAGCGACGGAAATACCGCCAGAACAGCATTTTCAAATTATGATTTGGTTTCAGGTATTACTGGGGTTTTCTGTAATTTAATTAAACGCTTTTGGATAATAATACTGATCTCAAGGCATGTCAACTTCCATTGAATTTGAATAAATTTGTAATCTACTGCTTCGCAACCGGTCATATTTTCATGGAACTCTATCCATGGTTTCCGATACCCGCATCTATTCATAAAGTTCTTATATCCAATAAACAAATAATGGAAAAATTCATTTTACCAGTTGGGTATTTGGGAGAAGAGGCATCAGAATCAAGAAACAAAATTTATAAACAAGACCGAGAATATCATACCCGAAAAAACAGTTAATGACTTAACTGTCATTTTCCAAAAAGCATTAGGTACATCAGATCCTCTAAGATCATCTTTGTCACTTCAGTCGCAAGGGGTTAAAACTTAAAATTAAAAAATTACCTGAAGAAGTTCTTAACTTGCTGGAATCATATGCCCAACCTGAAAATCTAAATATAACAACTCAGATGATTCACAATCAGATGCTTTGGATTTAGAAAGCTTTCTGGGTTCCGAATTAGACAGTTTAAAGTTAGACAGCGAATTACAAAATATTTAGTTGAATTGTCTTTGTACATTTAAGTGCTAATAAAAGTTTCTGCGTTTATCTTTTTTACGTCTCATAATTTATTTTTAAATTATTCAGTGTCTTTTACTGTTATAATATTATTAAATGTGGATAAAAATTGTCACCCAGATAACTTTTGTCATCCGGAATGAGTCTTGACTTAATTTAAACCTATACTTTTTTTTCATAGTACACATGATACTTTTAACTGATCTTAGATTTTAAAGTATCCTCATCAAAAATGATAAAAATTTGCTGTGGGCTTCTTTAAAATGTTTCAATTTTGTTCAGAAAGTGTTTAGGAACCAAATTATATTGAAACAAGTTAATTCAGCTTCGGAATATTAAATAATTTTGGGCAAAATAGTGGACTTCTGTACCTTAGTATGAAAATTTCAATTGTTTTCAAAAAACGTCATCACGCTATAGTAACCCAGAAGCATTTTAGTCAATTGTCTGATTACATTAGATAGACCATAGATATAGATACCTACTCGTCTATGATTCCTAATACCGTCCTACAAATAATTTAATTTGTTTGTCAGTTTGATTCGAATAGCAGCATCATTTATTCCCAGTAAGGCTGTTTAATGGAATAAAAAGTTCAATAATTTAAAGAAAATGTGACGCGTAATTTTCATTTTATGCGATAACACGTATCAAACAAACGTACTACAAAAATGTATCCGTTAAAAACATAAATCACATAAATGCCGATTGATATTGATATCTGTAATTATATATTTTTGATAGATTTCCATTCACAATAAACAAAAATATTGCATTGTAAAATTTAGATCTGATAAACTCATTCATTCCGAACTCATTAATGAAATCTGTATATAATTTTTCGTTATATTTAATGAATGTCGTGTTGATAGCTGTGTTGGGCTATTGATTAATTTTAGATTCCATTATACTGTTTTACAAAAGAAGGAAATTTGCACCAGAAAATTGTCAACTTGGTCTTTGAAATATTGTACTGAACAAAATGCTGAAAGTAAAATTAAGATGGAAACTTTATAAAAGACGGTTTGCTTTGTTTAATTTTTAATCTTTTTGATACAGCAATACTAGCCCAAGCAATGAAGCGTTTAGAACAGGTGTTCCTGTGAAAAATTATAATGAAGCTACAAATTTTTCGCAAAGGGCTGGTCTGAAATGAAAAATTATTGTTCAGTCTTCATCTAGAGGATATTTGTGACAAAACAACCGGCGAAAAGTATTTATAATTTACCCACTAGAGCATCCTGAAGACATGTATTATTGTGGAAGGTTTTGCAATGCTTCTATTTCGCGACCGCTATGGGTCGAACGGATGGTCGTATTGAAATTTTTCGAAAACCGCGTTATACCTGAATAAATACACTTTACAATAGTCTTCTGTTCGTGTCGATAGCTTGACAATTAAGGGAATGGCGAGCGCTCAAAATCGGCTGATGTTGGTAAATTTTATCAAAGTTATCCCCATTTTATTTTACTTATTGGTAATTTAGCTTGAAAATCTATTAGAAAAAATGCTTCCCGACAATCAATCAGAAATTTAATTTAATTCATCCTCAACGGGTGTATTTTTAATGCGAATAGAAAACTGAGATGCGATTAAAGTTTGTAGTTCAAAAAAATCAGAAAAATAAAAGTTGTAGGACGCTGAAATTTTGCAGGTATACTTAAATAAATTCTCTATCCGAATTTTAATCAAATTGTATGCTAGCTCGCTTCGCAAATTATGAAAAAGTCATTCCAATTTTGCAATAGGTTATAAAGCTAATACATTACGGTCCTGATATTTTTTAAATTATAATATATGCATGCATTTATTGTTACAAATGCTAAAATGAATACCATTGAGATATTTTTAAAAACTGGTTTTTCAACCTTTTACACAATTACACCAATATTTATGGGTGTTATTCCCTATGTATTTACTTGATTTTTTTACAGTGTTATAAAATATGATAGGTAGATATATTATTTCAATAGGTACCAGATAATTCTATAAATTCGAGTATAACAACATAAAATGAGAAAATCAACAAATGCGTACCTTTATAACAAAAAATAACATATTTCCTAAACATCAATCTGGATTTCGACCTGGACACAGTTGCACCACTGCGTTGCTAAAAGTTTTAGATGCTAGTACTTTTAGATTACTCTAAGGCGTTTGACAAGCTTAACCATCGCATGCTAGAAGCAATATGTCATCATATTGGCTTCAGTAACTCTTCTTTGAAATTAATGCATATTTAAATCAACGATGTCAGAGAGTTCTCATGGGCCCAATATCATCTACAGAAGCTCAACTAACACGGGGTGTGCCACAAGGCTCAATTCTGGGGCCTTTTCTATTTTTATTATATACTTCTGTTTCATACCTTTTTGAAATATATGAACTCGCATTTTTACGCAGATGATACACAATTGTGATGAATCTGAGGCTGAAAGTACTTCCTTAAAAGTAAATGAAGAGCTAGAAATTATAGCTGAGATTTCTAACAAATTGTGTTTGTCTATTAATGCTACAAAATCTAAGGCAATGCTATTCGGTCGTAAATTAGCAAAACATAGAATTAAAGATAGTTTAAAGATAATAATAGAAAATGATAATTTGAAATTTTCAGAATGTGAAAAGAATTCGGATTGTATATAGATAGTTCGTCAACTTTTTCAAAACATGTGTCAACTATCATTAAAAAGGCATTTTCAAATCTAAAATTAATATACTCGCACAAATAACTATTAAATAAAAATACACGAACTAATCTATATGAGAGTTTGGTGCTTTTACAAGAAAATTATGCTGATATTATATACGGTCCTGCCCTTACTCTATTTGAAAAGAAGCGTCTGCAGCGAATACAAAATGCTTGGGTGTAAGAAGACGTCAGCCAACTTCACAACATATGGTGAACTTAGGTTGGTTAAATCTCAATAATACATAGAAGACTTTTGCACGCTTCTGTTTTGTATCATCAAATAATGTCAAAAAAGCCTGCCTATTTGTACGAGAAGATTAAAAAAAGGTCTAAAGTACACAATATTAATGTACGGTTCAAAGAAAATCTATCTCTACCAAAATACAGGACCTCCCTATATCGCGCATGCTTTTGATATAATATAGCAAAAATCTAGAACAAGATTCCAAATGAAATAAAATCTTTACCAATTTAAACTTTCAAACGTAAAATAAAAAATTCTGTTTTCAATGGCTCTAATAAATATCAATTTTAAAAAATAAATTGGACATCACCCCTGGCATTTGTAACTTTCTTATTCTTGCTCGATATGTAATCTCGTATTAGAAGTTATTTTTCGTTATTTTTCTACTGTTTCCTTTGTATATATTATATTGTGAGATTATGAGCAATAAAGTCATTATTATTATACTACTTAAATGAAATATTACTGAAATAAATACTACTGAAATAAATACTACTGAAATAAATACTACTGAAATAAATACTACTGAAATAAATACTACTGAAATAAATACTACTGAAATACTACTGAAATACTACTGAAATACTACTGAAATACTACTGAAATACTACTGAAATACTACTGAAATACTACTGAAATACTACTGAAATACTACTGAAATACTACTGAAATACTACTGAAATACTACTGAAATACTACTGAAATACTACTGAAATACTACTGAAATAAATACTACTGAAATAAATACTACTGAAATAAATACTACTGAAATAAATACTACTGAAATAAATACTACTGAAATAAATACTACTGAAATAAATACTACTGAAATAAATACTACTGAAATAAATACTACTGAAATAAATACTACTGAAATAAATACTACTGAAATAAATACTACTGAAATAAATACTACTGAAATACTACTGAAATACTACTGAAATACTACTGAAATACTACTGAAATACTACTGAAATACTACTGAAATAAATACTACTGAAATAAATACTACTGAAATAAATACTACTGAAATAAATACTACTGAAATAAATACTACTGAAATA